CCCCAAAAGAAAAGAGGAATACGCACCTGGTGTCTTCACCCCTCTGCCACACCCCGTGTAACCTCTCCACTTCCCGCCTCACTTCCCTACTCTGACCAAAAGTCCTTTGACAAGTTTCTTCATCGACCGTCTCCTCAATTCCCAACTTGGCAGCTGAGAAAGAAACAGAAGGGGCAATGTAACCAGCCACAAACCCTTGAACATGATGCAACTTGCCCAGCACAGAAGTAGGGAGTCTATCCACCACTTGCATCAACGGCGCCGACGAAAATCTAGGATGAACCCACGGTGCTAGATTCTCATTATCAGCCTTCACCACCAATCTCCAAGTTATGTCTTTTTGGCGAGAGGGTGAAGAGAAGGAAGAAGGACGATGCTTACCAAAACAAGCCACAAAAGGTCTTGAAGGATGCAAGAGATGTGACAGATGCACAGCAGTATTAATCGCATATATCGTGCCTGCGGAATGCGACACCACAGCCACATATCTCACCCCCAAGTGTCTCAATACCACAGGCACAATTTCTAGCCATGTAGAGACTCGTTGATCCACTGGGACAGGAGTTGAGCCGCCAAATCCTGGTCTTTCTCCCATGCTCCATCAGCAACACAGCTAGCCAGAGGGAAGCGCAAACAACACTCACCGATCCACAATCACAATCCTCACACCTTCCCTCTTCGCCATCTCGTCAAATCCATAAATCAGATATCTTGCTGCGCCCATAGGGTGGCAGAACAAGACCACCGGCAAACTCTCATTGCAGAAATTTGTGGACGTGGAAAAAGTGACGCGGAGTTTGGGATGGGAGGAACTTGCTGGAAGGTAGATACTCTGGTGGAAGGAAGCGTTGCTGCAGAAGGCTATTGCGGTGTCTAATGGTGTCGGCGATGTTGCTTTCGAGTTTGTAGTCGTTTTGACGTTCGTGGGTGTCGCTGTTGCTGGCGCCATTGTAGAGGTCATCATCGTTCGCGAAAAAGCTGGAGATTCGCTAGTGTCGATGTTCGCTTGGGGCACAGGTGGATTCAAGACGCGTGAGAAGAAAGAAAACGTTATTAAATTCTTGTGAATATTGTTGGAGTATGCCAAGTTACAGTCGCTGAGTATGCGCGACATGCACGTGTAAGTGGGTGGGCTGCAAAGGGCTGGCTGTGTCAGCCCTGTCATCCATTCCCGAATCCTTCTCGGATCCTTCGCGTCTCGGTATTCTGTGCTCCACCAAATCTGGGGCAGTGCACCGCCTGTCACATGCGTTTCCCAACAAGATGAAACGCCTCGTCTTGCTTGGTCTTACATTCCAAACACGACGTTCTTCAGACCGTGCTCTTTGGACAGCTCAATCCAATCCACTTCGTCTGCTTTCCCGCCTGAAACCTCTTTCTTTGCTTGCTCTCTGACTACAAGCTCGAGAAGGTGTCGTACCCGTGCCACAGCACCAGATAGCCCTGCGTGCTCCATCTCTTTCAACATAATCAGTGCTGCTGCTTTCTCGTGTGGGAGTTTTGTTGCTGCTCCAGCAAGGAAAAGTCCAGAAGCCAAATGATGGTTTTCTTTGTCGTTGAAAACAAAGCTTTGTCGCACGGTTTCAATGATGTAGGTGCAGTGGCGAGCATCTTCCTCGGCAAATGCATCACCATCAAGTCTTTGATAAGGATACATACTCGTATGCAGATGCAGCTGAAGTATCGAGTATTGCAATCGTGCAAAGTTATATGTGCCTCTGATGATCCCTAATTCGTCCATTCCGTCAAGGTTGTCGATATCGGAAGGACAATTGGCTTGCCAGAGTTCTTCGCGTCGAGTCTCCAGATCTTGGATGAATTGCTGTCTTTCTTCCAGTCCAACATGCCGGTCCTTCAACATGCTTCGAAGCTTTAGTGATGCCTGACTCTGCTCAGCAAACATTTCGAACGTAATCAAAGACAGCTTGTGAGTTTGCAAAAAGATCTCCATAGCTCCTGGTGTCGACAGGACTTGTCGTTGACTCTGTGATATGGGCCATACTGGCAATGAACGACCATTGTCCAAGAACGCGCGGGTATAGTGACCTGCTTCAGGGTTTCCGGCAAGACCTGCTTGAGCATCCAGTAGAAGAACATACCATGATAGATACGCTTGTAATCGACCAACTGTGGTTCCGGCTGGTACTCGTGCCAGACAGGCAAGTTTGCGCAGATGTATAGACCATGAACCACGATCCTCAGGCCATCGTTGTGATGCACAGGCAATATCGTACATTAAAAGTATGAAATGCAGAAAGAAGACGGCTTCGCAATTGTAAGAATCCGGCATTGAACGACACGCCGTGATTGCTCGGTCGTAGTGCTGAAACGAGCCAGCTATGAGTTCTGGTCGATTCTTCATGCCACTGTTGAGAAGTGTGATGGCGCAAATCGCGTGCCGCAGTGGGAGAAACTTTTTTGCGGAGGAGAGCAGAACATTTTCGTCGTCCTCTATGTTCAGTTTAAAGCGAACAGCCATGGGCATGATCTTGCGACACACAATCTTGTCAAATAGCAAAGGGTGTATCGCATTATCACGTGACCTCGTGCCATAGTTCATCATATCCGAGGGGACACGGGAGACGATTGATTGCGTATCCGAGTCTTCAGACGAGGAAGCAGAATCAGATATTGACTTTGAATTCAGATTGCCCACTGATTTCGGTGATTGGGGCTCTGCAGGCACAATTGTTGCAGCCAGATCAACCGAAGATGAATTGACAAACATCAACGGGCGAGATCGGGTGAGTTGTCCAGTAGAAGTCGTCGTCCGTAAATGCTTGTTATTGCGGACCACTGGATGCGGATTCTTCCCAAGAATCACATACTGCTTTCCGACAGCACGACTGCTGTCAATAAATTTCCATTCCCGGGTCCAGTCGCATTGGCGGTTCAGACGGGAGCAAGAACCACATCGGCCAATGTCATCGCGGTTCTCATCACATTTGACCTTTCTCTGTCGACAGGTACGGCATCCAGTATACGATCGTTGAGCAATCGTCGCTTGCGAAGTTTCCATGCTGTCATTGTTCTGAACGCGAGTCGGCGGCTTGAGCTGTGCCAGGATGAGAAAGAAGACGGCAGCTACATGTTCTATCTTTGAAGAAAAGTTGATCACAGACGATGAGATTACTGAGAAAGTCAAATCAGCATCCAGAACAGGGAAGGGCCGAGGGTTGCCGACAGACCGATTCACGTGGCTACCTACATTTTTGACGGCGGGCAGAATGCAGGGAAGCCGCGCCAAAGCGAGCGGGGGGCTAGCCTGTCGCTGCCGCTGCTTGTTGCTTGTCTGCCTGTCTACATGCAGAGCCGCAGGTCAAGCGTTGGACAATGACATTAACGACTTTTTGTCTCTGACAAATGCCTTGCTCCTTGTCTCTCCCTCTACATACAAACAGATTTCTAGACCGGCAATTCTCAGAAGTCCATGTTCCATCTGACTGAGACACGACAAATTACCCATACCCCTCCTCCGCAAATACCATCATCGCATGACTTTTCTGACCGACTCGTTTCGGAACTTTTCCGCCCCCAATCACCGTGTTTCACCTCTGGCTGAACGCCACCCGAAACTCGCAACCTTATTGACTTTCGCCTACACATCTATTAACTAGAGTTGACTAGTGACGTCTCGTATTTTGCGGTTCACCAGAAAGACTCAATCCACAAACAAGCTATGGCATTCTGAGAGACTCGAAAGACCGACAGGTGACGTGAACCAAACACTTCGCGCATCACTCTAATATTATACGAGTTATCATATAAACCTTCTTGTCTCCTTGGTATAATGCATGTGAGAGCGTTGAGGGGATACGAAACTGAAAATAGGTGACTTTCCACAAGTAGAGCCCCGTTCACAAATGCCGACGATGATACTGAACTCGATCTAGTCTACGTACGTCAACTCGAACGGTCATACATGCTCAACATCACCTTTCGCATTCCAGATCCTGCTTTCCCATTATTCCAGCTCATATTGTACCTTTGTAGTCGGCTCGCCTCATGAAGTCCTTGTACGCTATACGCATCGTTGAACAGATTAGGTAGTTGCAGATGCAAACAGATATTCGGATGCACGGCAGTCAAACCTAAATGCAAAAAGCACATCTGTTGGGGAACCATATTGGCCATTGCAAAAGATCTGAAGATGGATCTCCTCAACGTGGATCAATCCAAGCGGCCATACATGCTCGACCCCATCTCATGCAATCTCGACACTGCTCGTCCAATTGCAAATCCTACATCAGTCTCTCCCGCGCCTCCAGTGGCCAGACTCGCTTCTGCCAACCCAGTCGCCGACCACTCTGTATCGCCAGATACAAAAGTGCTCATCATACTTGAACTACTGCCGCCTCCCTTCTTAACACTCATCTTCAGTCCTCCTGATTTCCGCATTAACCGTTGCCGCTCGTTTTCCACAATCTCGGCAAAAGCTTCGTCAATTGTTGCGTTGGATGAGATGACAACCCTAGTGCCGGACTCGTATGCCAAGTCGATGAGAGTGATGAAGCGCCGCACAAAATCTAGCTCCGAAAGTCGAAAGCGTCGAAGACCGTCTAGGTAGATGGTTTTGGCCTTTCGACATAAGGCGTGATAGTCTGCTGCCCCGAGCTTGGCCTCGCAAAGCTGTGCAAACGTCGAAGAAACGATGAGTTTGCTTTCGTCATTGTCGGCTGGCGTAGCAGTGACGACCATTTTCCTCCCCATCATCACCGGTATCTCGCAAGGTTCCATTTTCTGACCATTTGTAGCGGCAGAAAGGCTTTGCTGAAACTCTTCGGCGTCGGTAAAGAAGACCTTTTGATTTTCTCCTGCGTCCTCCCTTCCCAACAAGCGATAATCTTGCGTCCCTCCTAGAGCCCAAGTTTCGCATCTATACTTGAGCATAGCGATGAATGGCAGGAACAGTTCCCTGTTCAACCCATCTTCGTAGAGTTTATCTGGCTCACGATTGGAAGTCGCGACCATGACACCGCCAGCCGCCCAGAATGCACCCATCAGTCGTTGCAAGATCATCGCATCTGCTATATCCGTGACTTGGAATTCGTCGAAACACAACACTCTGCTTTCATCGTGGATCTGCCGTCCTATCACTGGCAAAGGGTCAACAGATCCATAGCGACTTGAAGAGGACCGTGCGACGTGTAACCGCGAATGCACATCTAGCATAAACTCATGGAAATGCGCTCGCCGACGTGAGACATGCGATGGCAGAGTCGATGTAAACAGAGATGCCAGATAGGATTTTCCTGTTCCGACTGAACCGTGGATGTATAGGCCTGTAGGTGCGGATGCAGTGGTGGTAGGGCCGGTGGTGGAGGTGGAAAGACCGTTCTGTATAGTTGACAGCCGCGTGATTAAGGCTGCTTGAGACGCATTTTGAGATAATCGACCGCGCTTGAGTAATGCATGATATGCGCTCTCAAGAGGTGTGGTTGCCGAGGATCGCATGTTGAGGGTCCAAGGACGGAGGTCAAGAGTGAGAATGTCCGAGTCGTGTCACAATGCGCTCAGAGACTTGGCGACAATATTCTTCTCCGCTGGACTTCAAAAGCATACGAAGGCCATAAAAGAGTAATGCCCGGCAGGTAGTGGTGAAGGGCAATTCCCATCTAGCAGAGTTACGTTCCAGTAACAATGTTGTTCGTGTTTACACCGAATCTATAAGGTCTACGAAAAATGATGAGGTAACCTTGGTCTACAGAACGGCGAGGCTTCTCTAGCAAACGACCGTTCATAAGGAAGAAGTTATGCATAGCATACATTTGCAACTGCAACTTGATCTGTCAGCCTTATGGGATCGTGCATCAAGAACAACGAATTACGATCTTGTCTACCCATAGCAATAACATGACAGGATGCTCTAAAGTCATCTACTATCTTGTCATTCCAAACACGACGAACGCAAGATCGATAAGGCATCCGTCTTCTTCGCGACAAGAAACACATGTCGATCGGAGGCTTGGGTGATCTTATCATAGCCAGATGAATCGTGCCAGGTATTGCAGCAAAAGTAGCATGGTGGCCAAGTTGCGAGGTTATGATATTATTTATTCTCCACCCTCATGAATATTGAACGTCACTCGTTGTGGAGAACTCGCAGAATTTGCAACCACCTCATGTTAGAAGACAACCGCCTCAAACTCGGATACTGCAATGTCACAACGTAGTTTCGAAATTGAGTTGTGCTTTTAACCATTCGATGTCTTATCACAGTCAATTTACGCTGCCAACAGCTGATCAGCACGATGTCGATGCCACCTGGTTCGACAAACAGAGGCAACTTCCGGTAGAGAAGAATGATTCACGACTTCGCACATGGCTTGTTGAGCAAGTAAACGCACTACAAGACTTTTACGACGGCGATACAAATCCAGATGCGGTCGCTGCCATCATGACACACTCCATCTCGACCTCGTCTATACTGGACTTGGGTAGTTACTCCGACGATATCTTGGCTCTGAACATTTTATGGCGTCTACTCATCAAAGCTTTGATCGAGTGGCCGTCCCCGCGCACACACGACTTGTTTGCTCTCTTAGATGCTAAAGCTCAGGTGCCCGACAAGATCCACAAAGGCGAAGCTTCCGACGAAGACGGCACACCCTGGACCTGGTCCGAGTTCCCCTATTTCTCCTTGATCTGGCCCGAGCATTTCCAGCCTGGTCAGATCTGCCGTCGATGCTCAGACGGACAAGAGATCGTCTTGGCTCGACGCTTGTATCTGAGAATCAAAGATCTTGAAGCGCAATTGATAGCAAAGCGTGTCATGGGTATGGGCAGATGGAGGACCCAATACATCATTCTCGCCCTGGAGAAATCCATCGACGATAGCGACAGGCAAATCGCTATCAATGATGCTGTGGGTTATGAACAAGTCAAACTTGATTTCCATATTCCCACCATCTCTTTCTTGTTCAGGTATAATGCGAGAGAAATATATGGACGAGTTGTCCACGGTGATGTCAAGGATATGACGCCGGCTCGACGGTGGCCGGGAGTCGCAAAGGAGTTTGAAACGGGGCAGAACGTTGGTCTTCCTGGAAACGAAGACTCGAGGAGTTGGCTGGAGGGAAAGTAGGTAACGAGGTAGCTGTCGCTGCGAGATCGGCCCTAGCGTCGATGGCAGTATGTGAAGACGCTTGAACATAACATGGTATGCGTAGCATCTCAAGTATGAGATATCGACCAGTCGCTTCGTGATCTGCTTGAAATCGGTCGTGTTCTATAATGAGTTTCGAAACGAGCAAGAGCGGAACCATCAGTACTGTCATTTCTTGGATTGGCAAAGTGCCCAGGAAGAAACAAGTATCTGGATCTAGAGGAAGAGGCGACCATCTAGAAGCAATCACAACATCGTTGAAGGGGTTGGCTGCGCTGCAGGATGTGTTTGGTTTGAGGGGAATCGTTGAAGAATCCAGATGGCTTGGAGTTTGGTCCACTGTTTGCTTCTCTGAAGAGATGACTTATGATAGCGATTGGCATCTCGTAACGCACGCAAGTCGATCCTAATATGCGTTTGTTTCTACCACCTCTTTCTGGATCTTATATGAAAGATTGGTCCCAATTGAACTGGGGTCATAGATCGAATGCCAGATGAAAGTGATGCTGGAGGGATTGAAGACGCGTCTCAATAAGAATGGTCCCGAATCATGTAACGAAAGGCTTCATATTGGGGTTTTGTGAAGGTCCAGTATTGAGCTTTCACCAACCAATCTTGAAGAAGTGCGTCGGAAGCTCTTTGTCAACCTTTTCGTCCTCAGGAGGTGTGGCTTGTGGAATGGTTCTGTTCTTAGAAGATTGCCACAGGCCGTCCAATTCGCATGGTCCATCTAGGCTTCCTGGAGCCTCCATAGTCATTTGATCTCGCTGCTCTCCTGGTATGTCCGATTCAACATGCCACCTTGATGTGGGTTCATCGAGAGGATCCCAGTTCATAGCTTCAGAGCTCTGGGAATGATGTGTGGCGCTTCGCGAACTCTCACCAACCATGAATGTCTGTTGGTGAACAGATTCGACCGGAAAACGTTGTGCTTGCTGCTGGCTGATGGCGCTCGGTGTCTGAAATTCATTGATGAGGCATGGTACGGGATCTGTCCGTTGTGGTGCGGTCAGAGGATGTGCACTGGTCCCTATCCTTGACAAAAGTTTAGACACTCCTACATTCCAGTAGACTTTTTCTGGCAATGGCAACAGAGGAAGAAAATGATTGGATTGATTCCGAGTGTCGAGAGCGTCATGGGAGGGCTTGGATGTGGATGTTCTGCGTATCTGCGACTCCTGTTCTGGTACTTCGACGATTGATCCATCCATACTCAGCGAGTCGTACTGACGCACTTCAGGTCCGAGTTGTTGATCCATGGGTCGGGCTTCTTCCGCGTTCGAGGTCTCTAAGAGACCCAATACTGCAAGTATCTCGTGGAGAAGTGGATTTCCGTTGTACTCCATCAATCTGGGACCGGGCCATGCGTTGACAGCAAGCAACCTGTGATACATGGTGTGTACTGCAGCTTCAAGTTTGTGCTGTTGTGCCTCTAGAGCTCGCACGTAACTCGGTACAATCAGTATTTGTACGTGGGTCCGCAAAGATGGATATTCTCACTGCTCGGGGAACATCTTTCGTTGTGACCTCTTGAAGTTCCCAAAATGACAGACAGCATCGGCCGATTTGCAAATCTTGCTTTCTTAAGACGACAACGTGCACATGCCTTTGAAGCTCTTGACTTCAGTTTGTCGTTGTTTTCCTCAGGAGGCTGCGCTTGCGTGGTTGACATTTTCTCAGGCTTTCTTGAATCAGAAGTTGACTCGAAGGATCATGAAGTGAGCAAGATGCCCTGATATGAAGCGTCAATGCCCAGCCGATTCTGAGCATGTGGTGACGTTTGAACCAGCCATGAAAGAGCTTGAGCATTCACTGTTTTTAGTAACTATACGGCAACGACTGCCATCAAACGCCTATGGTTGCTCAATCATCCGTTATGTTTTCGTGGTTCTCTTGCTTTTGCTTGGAGCATACAAAATGCTTTTGTCTCAACGTTGCAAGCATGACAAGTGTTTCCGAATTTCTCCGATGTCCACTGCGGAAATACGAACCCTTGTAAGCACTCACCAAGTATGTTCATATCCGTGTGGGGTTGGCCCTGAACATGGAACCTTAAAACCATATAGGCTATACAACAGCAACGCAATACTGCGAAGCTCAAACGTGATGATCTTCAATGCGACAGACGCCGAATAAACAGACCACAGGCTGCTCACCTTCCTTTCCAATGCGTCAATAAACGACTGACGAGGTTTCTCGACTGATCTCGAGCTTTATCGCAGTAATCAAGACATTGACAGATATCACATACGACGGGTCTCGATAAGCCAAGTCTCTTCTCTGGATCTCCGATAAGACCTCCTCGAACGGGAGATGAAAACTCAGGATCGCTTCTCCCGCAGAGCTTGGCGCCAACATACGATTTTCCTAACCCAGTACGGACTACATGCTCAAAAGGAGGGCAGTCCGCATCGACAGTTTTGTGTGTTTCTCCTAAGAGCAGTTAAGACTTCACGAAGTGCTAGAGCAGTTGTTCAAAGCCAGAATGATGCAATATCTGCGGAAACTCTGACTGGCAAGGACGACAAGACATCCCCAGCCGGCCCTCTTCTCCCGCTTCTTGTTCATCGGAGTCAATGATGAGCTTGGACTCATTCGACAACTTCTCCTCTCCGACGCGACGTCAAGATACCTTGTCGGGAGGAAGACCGTGTGCAATCTTTGAAGTCGGCTTCCGGTCTTTCCCGACGTTCGCAATCTGCCGAATCTTTCTCGTGGCCCGGTTCTCTGTCTTGCTCCTTGGACTGGTTGTTATACGTTATTGCAAGATTCTCTCACTCCACGACTGAAGGTTCTTACAGAGCGTTGAGGTGAAGACAATCCGTAGTACCGTCTCATCATCCTATACCAAATAGCTCCACATTCGCCAGCCTCGTTGCTGAAGTTCTTGCATCCTCCACCTTGTCGCAGTTATTCTCCGATTGCATGAAAACATCGCTCAGCTGTTGGTGTCAATGAGGGATCATTGGTGGCTGATACTCCCGAGAGACCAGCAATCCCGCGGGCTAGCCAGTCACCATCGGCCAGAGTGGGGAGTTCTTTCAAGACTGCTTCAGCAGGTCCATCATACCACATTTTGAGCCCTAGACGCCATCGCCGCCTTCTGGAGCGCCATCTGAGCACCGGTCCTTCTTATCTCTGTGTACTAAGTGGACGCTTCAGCTAAGCTTCTGCTTGTGCAGCGACAATTACCTTCGTCTCGAAGCGCCTCTTGTAATTCATTCATAAGCACGATCGAAGACTCAATTGCTTGATTTGCGCCCATAGCGCCGTTTAGAATCATCTATACGCTTGTTGTCAGTCTCTAACCTTGGCATCACGTCAATCAGTCAGTCGACATCTCGTACCTAGTGCGCAGCGTCTCCAACAATGACCATTCTCCATGACACCAATCGTCTGCCAGCCATCCCCTCCTCAGGAGCAGTCTGATTCGCAACCGTTTTCCTGGAATAGATACCACCGAAGGTTATTGTCTCTGAGAGGCGCGGATGTGCCACGCTTCGACATGCAGATTCGGCGTGCTCTGGCGGCTATCGAGGTGTGGACCCAAAGGGAAAAGTTTGTCCCGAGAGGGTGTCACATCCGGAATCCGTAGGGTTCGTAGTCAAATAAGCAGCTTCAATCTCGAGAACAGTCCCAGGCAGGCATGCTCATAAACGACATCTCGGACGGTTATGAAGGATTTCGAGCAGCGAACCAAGAAGTTACCAGAGACGTTGCTGATATCACAGTCAGGCCTGCGTATCCTGCCCTCATCAAACGAATCGTCAAGATTATATCCCACGATACCTCGTATCTGGTCTCATATCTCGATGCTATTCAGCACTAATGCCCATCTTTTGAAAGAGACATCCCTCTGACTACCCTTCCCGAGCAAGCTCCTAAAGATATTAAGCTTGCAAGACTCAGAATAATGGATTGTGCTTTGCAGTTGGCGCAACTGACCGCCGATTCAAACGAGTTTCTTGCCAACCTTCAACTAGGGGTATGACTGCTTTACACATAGTAGACCGTCAACAGCTGATGGTTCGTCGTGTACCATTACATCGCCGTGCTCCAATGGTTGGCGGTTCGACATCTTCCATGGAATCCCTTTGGATGGCAATATCTTCTACGTCGATTTGGCCGCGAGGGCAACCATGCCGGAGGTCAAGCTCAAGTCCATCATACGCATGAATATGACCACAAACCTCTTCTGCGAACCAGCGCCTGAACATGCCGCTCACACAGCTTTTTCAGCTTTACTGTCAACTAACAAGAACCATTCTAATTGAGCTGTTTTTGGACGTCCCTGTGCTGCTTTGGCTGAAGCAAACAATGTCCAATATATGAACATCAGAGACAGGTGTCTGGATGGTCTGCTTACCGCTGACCATGCCAAGTTGTTGGCAAATCACTGGTTGATCGTGACTTGTCAACCCCGACAGACTCAGTGTTGGCGGGGCTCTAGGCGCTAGAAGTCTGCTTGTGATCACCATCCTCAAATTGAAGGATTCAGGATTTATAGTGTTGGCCACAGCGGTCAGAGACTTAGTGCATAATTACTTTCCTGAACAGGAAAGTGGGGTTGAATCCTTCCTGACATGCATCCGCTGTTTGTGCATTGATTTTTTGATCCCATCAGGCAGATGTGCATTTCTATAAAGTGCTGCGCCTCATTCTCAAAGTGGCCGACCTAATGATCTGATCAGTGGCTCCTCTGAAACTCACATCTGGTGTCGCTAGTCTGGAGCCGATTACATAAGAGGAGAACATGATCAGCACTTCCATTCAGCGACGCATCCCCCCAGACCTATCAATTTCACACCATGTCGTCCACCACCACCACCCTGGAGCCGAGCGTCCAATGGCCTGTCAAGACTTCTGAATTCCAGAATCATGCAATAGACTCAACAAGATGGGACAACTTCCCTTTCCGTGATGACGATGTTGTCATTGCGAGTTGGGGCAAGTCTGGCACGACCTGGATGCAACAAATCGTCTCTCAACTCATCTTCAACGGCTCCGAAGATGCACCTGTCCATGAAGTATCGCCCTGGTTGGACCTCCGCCCCTTACCTGAAGGACTTGCTACTGGCTTGCTCGAAGCCCAAACCCATCGTCGCTTCATGAAAACGCACTGTCCACTCCAGAACCTTGTCTACAGCCCCAAGGCCAAATACATCTTCTGTGCTCGTGACGGAAGAGACGTCATTTGGAGCATGCACAACCATCTGTATCATGCTACGCCGGCATTCTATGAAATAATGAACACACCCGGCCATCTTGGCCATGCTTCGGAGAGGCCACAAGCGGACGTCAGAGAATATTTTCTCGATTTCATAGAAGACGATAACCGGAGCACGATTACTTATCCCTTCTGGAACGTCATCCGTGGCTGGTATGCTGCGAAAGACACACCAAACTTGCTCTTCGTCCATTTCAACGATCTGAAGAAGGATCTCAGCGGCGAAATTCAACGCATTGCTACCTTTCTAGACATCGGAGTGACACAAGAAAAACTGGCTGAGATCACTGAACATTGCACCTTTGAATATATGAAAGCAAACGCCAAGAAGATGAGTCCTGAGCAGGCGCCGATGATGTGGGAAAATGGTGCCGAGACTTTCATCAACAAAGGAAGCAACGGCAGATGGAGGGATGTACTCACTGCAGACGATATCAAGCTCTACGAAGATAAGGCAAACTCAGAACTCGGAGAAGAATGTGCGAAATGGCTTGCCGAGGGCGGAAGAATCCAGCCATATTATTTCTAGTGTATGAGCATCCAGACATGCACGAATGGACATCAACACCGGCTTGTACCACCTGCGTATGAACTCAATGTTACGCTCGCGTAAGCTGCGCCGAGTTGCAACCTCCTAGATGTCAGTTACAGTCATAGCATCGGTGCAGAAATGTATAACATTCTCACAAAACGCCTTCGATACAGAATGAACCAGCCGCTTGGCAGCATCATCTCTATCATCGTGTCATGGTTGATTGCTAACCAGGTGTATATCGTCTTGTGGGTAATAATATTCAACTCAATGATGAAGCTGTGAGCATCATCAAAGACATCTGTGTAAATGGCCTGCTGATCAATGAAATTGACCATGACTCGAAAGCAATGCAACTAGACTGTGGAAGGACATCACAGAGTGACAGTCATCACATCAACATGCTTGAGAGGCCTAGAGCGTGTTCCCCATATTGATATGCACCGCTTTGATCTGCGAGTATGCTTCGAGACCAGCTTCTCCGAGCTCGCGACCGATGCCGCTTTGCTTGACTCCACCGAACGGTACTCTTGGGTCGCAGTCTTGACTGCTATTCACCCAGACCATGCCTGCTTCAATCTCTGCGCTGACTCGATGGGCACGCTGAAGATCTTTGGTGAAGACAGCGGCTCCAAGTCCGTATGTAGTGTTGTTTGCCCGGATTACTGCTTCTTCCTCTGTGTCAAAACTGGAAATGACAACCACCGGACCGAAGATCTCCTCTTGGTAGATCGTCATGTCGTCAGTTACGTCGGCGAATACAGTAGGAGCGATGAAGTAGCCTTTGGTTCCTTCCACAGGTCCGCCACCGCAGACTAGTGTCGCATTCTCAGACTTGCCTCGTTCTATGTAGGAGAGGATGCTATCGTACTGCTGCTTGGTGACTTGCGGACCTTGGTAAGTTTTGGACTCGAAAGGATCGCCTACCACGCTAGTCGACAGCACTCTATCCTTGAAAGCCTGAATAAACGATTCATAGATCGTCTTCTGTACCAGGATTCTTGACGTTGCCGTACAGATTTGACCCTGGTTAGACATAATGCCAAAGTGGGACCATTTCACAGCTTGATCGAGATCGGCATCGTCGAAGACCAACAACGGAGACTTGCCTCCAGTTTCGAGCGTGATGTTTTTGAGAGTGCCAGCTGCAAGCTTCATGATAGTGCGGGCAGTCGCGGTAGATCCGGTAAAAGCAACCTTATCCACATCTGGGTGACTGACAAGAGCTGCCCCGGCTTCTCTGCCGTGCCCGTTGATCAGGTTCACTACGCCGGGCGGGAAACCTGCCTCTTTGACGAGAGTTGCGAACACTAAGATGCTTAGGGGAGTCTGCTCAGCAGCCTTGAGGACGACAGTATTACCGCACGCCAGAGCGGGTCCAAGCTTCCAACAAGCCATAGACAGGGGATAGTTCCACTGGCAGATTGTCAGCGTGAGATGCAAACACACAAGCTAACGGCTCGTTCACAGAAAGTAACTCACAGGAATGATTTGTCCAACGACTCCAATGGGCTGTCGAATCGTGTACGCGAACTTCTGCGGCGTGGTGCTGATCGTTTGACCGAACGACTTGTCCGCAAACCCGGCATAGTACCTGATTGTACCAATGGCCTCGGGAAGATCTCCGGTCAAAGCCTCCGAAAATGGCTTGCCTGGGAGTTCTTTGTCAGCAATGTGCTCAGAAGGAATGCTAGCCAGATGACTTGCCATTGTCCCATGCATCGATGGTAGCAAGGAGCTCGACATTCTTCTCCATGAGATCTGCAAGTTTGTTCATCAAGACTCCACGGTCCGTTGCGGGAAGGAGCTTCCATGCTGGACTCTTGAGGGCAACTTTGGCAGCTTTGACTGCAATATCCACGTCTTCAGAACCTGCAGCTTGTACTGTCGCAATTTCTGTCTCGTCTCTGACACTTTCATCAGCTCCAGAATGGAATTTTCTGTAAACGTTCATCTTACGCTGCTTAGGGTTTTAGGGTTTTTAGGGTTAGGGTTAGGGTTAGGGTTAGGGTTAGGGTTAGGGTTAGGGTTAGGGTTAGGGTTAGGGTTAGGGTTAGGGTTAGGGTTAGGGTTAGG